GTCAAAATTTGCAGATAACACTAAGGTGAGTGGTAGAGCAAAGTGTGCAGAAGACAGTGAAAGTCTGCAGAGGGATATAGATAGTCTAAGTGAGTGGGCAAAGGTCTGGCAGATGGAGTACAATGTTGATAAATGTGAGGTCATCCATTTTGGTAGGAATAACAGGAAAATGGACTATGTTTTAAATGGTAAAAAAATTGCAGCACGCTGCTGTGCAGAGGGACGTGGGTGTCCTTGTGCGTGAATCGCTAAAAGTAGAATTACAGGTGCAGCAGGTAATTAAAAAGGCAAATGGAATTTTGTCTGTCATTGCTAGAGGGATGGAGTTTAAAAACAGGGAGGCTATCCTGCAGCTGTATAGAGTCCTGGTGAGGCCATACCTGAAGTACTGTGTGCAGTTTTGGTCTCCTTACTTGAGAAGAGATATACTAGCACTGGAGGGGTTGCAGAGGCGATTCACTCGGTTGATTCCAGAGTTGAGAGGGTTGGATTATGAGGAGAGACTGAGTAGACTGGGATTATACTCATTGGAATTCAGAAGAATGAGGGGAGATCTTATAGAAACATATAAGATTGTGAAGGGAATAGATAAGGTGGAGGCAGGGAGGTTGTTTCCACTAGCTGGTGAAACTAGGACTAGACGGCATCGCCTCAAAATAAAGGGCAGCAGATATAGGACTGAGGTCAGGAAGAACTTCTTCACCCAAAGGGTTGTGAATCTGTGGAATTCCCTGCCCAGTGAAGCGGTTGAAGCCACCTCGCTGAATGTTTAAGGCAAGGCTAGATAAATTTTTGAACAGTAAAGGAATTAAGGGTTATGGTGAGTGGGCGGGTAAGTGGAGTGAGTCTCAAAAAGATCAGCCATGATCTTATTAAATGGTGGGGCAGGCTCAAGGGGCCAGATGGCCTACTCCTGCTCCTAGTTCTTATGACTTCCATTTGCCACTGTTCTGCCCATCTGACCAGCCGTCTATCATCCTGCAGTCCAAAGCTTTCCTGCTCACAATTTACCACACCGATATTATTATGTCCTTTGCAATTTACTGATCATGCCTCCTATATTCCTGCCAAGGTCATTAATGTGCACAACAAATAACAAGGGATCCAGCACTGAACCCTGTGGTGTGCTACTGGATGCTAAGTCACACCAATCTTCAACAATCACCCTCGGCTTCCTGTCACCAAGCCAACATTGGATCCAATTGTCAAACTGCCCTGGATCCCATGAGCTCTTACCTTCTTGATCAACGTCCCATAAAAGAGTCCTTGCCAAAGCTAACATATATGGCAATGCATCCAATGCACTACCCTCTTCCACAGATCTGGAGAACTCTTTGGAAAACTCAAACCAACCTGTCAGATACTATTTCCCCTGACAAGTGTAAATTAATTCTGTCACTCTTTCCACACACTGCCCTGCCCACCCCCAACATTTTCCTTACCACTGATCAGACTCACTAGCCTGTAGCTGCCTGGTTTATCACTACCATCCTTCTTGAAAAATAGTATCACATTAAACTGTCTTCCACTCCTCTAGCGTGTCTGTTGCATTCAGAAAGGATTTGAGAGTCAATGCCAGGGCCCCTACTCTTCCCTTATTCGTCCCCCACAGCAGCATGGGAGACATCACATCCAGGCTGGGGACTACTCCAATATTACGCCCATTCAAACTGTTAAACCTCCTACCCTACTGGTAATTTGTTCAAGTACATAATGGGCCTTTTCTGATTTCTATTCTAACACAAGAAAAACCATCACAAATATTGATATCAAACATTCATTTAAAACCTCACCTACATCTCTGGCTCCATCCACAGTTTGCTATTTAGGTCCTTGTTAGTTTCCTTGCTAGTTTTCTTGCTTATCCTCTTGCCTCTGATGTGTAGGAAAAACATCAGTGGATGTTCCTTTATTATAACTGCCAGTATTTTTCCATGCCCCCTCTTTGCTTTTTCAATTTTTTTTGAAAATTAACACCCTGCATTTTCTATAGGTTTCTAAAGCTTCTAGTGTTCTGATCCCTTAGTATCAGCCATAATTTTCCATTTCCTTATCCAAATTTTTCAAAATTCCTTAATATCTAGGATTCACTGGAATTTTTGGTCCACTTTTAGAGGAACCTGGTGGCCACACACTTTCACTCTTTCCTTTTTGAAAGTTTCCTGCTGCTCTGGTATAGATTTTGTGCAAGTAGCTTTGAGAGAAAGCCCCAAGCAGTAATAGTAGGCCAAGAAATATATACTAAAATATTTAGCAAGAATATTATCTTTTACATTCAAGAACAGTAGTGCACATAAAATTGGTTTAAAAATGGCTTTCAAATGATACTTTAAGTTGTACGATAAATTTCAGGAAGAATATTGGGCTGTAAAGATAGGATGATATAAATATTGAGCTTAAAAGTAGCACAAGTCTATATAGAGATAGTAGGAACTGCCGATGCTAGCGTCTGAGATAACAAGATGTAGACCTGGATGAACACAGAAATTCTGAAGAAGGGTCCAGACCCGAAACGTCAGCTTTCCTGCTCCTCTGATGCTGCCTGGTCTGATGTGTTCATTCAGCTCTACACCTTGTTATACAAGTCTATATACCTGTGTTTTAGACACGAGGCTAATGTGCACTGCCTGATATGAAACATTAGCGTGATAAAAATTGAACTTAACCACAAGTGAAAACTGTTTATGAATGTTAAACAAATCATGGATTTAGCAAATGATGTAATTTCATTTTGTTATAAAACTGCAAAAGGATGTGGCACGAAGTGCACATTCGCAATAAAGGCTGAACACCAGCTCATAGTATTTTCCACATGCAAATATTGCATGGTCCTTAACTGCAGAAATGAAATCTTTCACAGAAAGTCAGAGCAAATAGCTTACACGAAGTGGACTCCTTTAAAAAAATAATGGTATCACTGAGGATACACTAGATTTCCCCATCAACATGAAGTAAAACAGAAGTCGTTTCAGGTCAATGCCCTTTAAATCAGTTTCTCTCTCCCTGGAAGTTGCCTAAATTGTGAATACTCAATCATCAGCAGTATTTTGCTTTTGAAATAAATGTACCTCTTATTAGTTTCATTTCTTTCTAAACCAAGCAAAGGAAAGAGTGAAACATATGAGCTAAATGATATTCTGCACATCCATTACAAATACCAATTTCTCTTACTGCAAAGTCTCAGGTATACCAACAGATACTGGGTGCTCCCTCTCCGAGTGCAGCCAAGACCACACAAGAGACACAGGCTGACAGAACGATTACTCCCAGCAGCATTCAGCTTGGGCCAGAAGATGGCTACCATGTTCAGATCCAAGAACAGGCCCACAAGGTGATCGCTTAACTTTCTGATTCCTGAACTCACTCCGACCACACCAAACCTACAACACAGCAGCTGGCCAGAGATCAGGCATGTGGGACTGAACTGAAGCCAAAACAATTGAGAAGCAAGCTCCAAACAGCCAAAGGGTTGCAACCGCTCAACACAAACACAGACTAACTCATTCTGGTATTTTGCAATGAATAATAATGAAGGTTTTCATTAGTGCAATGTGGATTCCAGATTGTTGGCATCACTTATGCTTCAACAGATCATTAGGCAGGTAATTAGTCATAGTCTATTAAGGATAATGATGAGCATCTCCCGCCATCAGAGATATAATTTTTTTTTCTAAATAACTTGTTCTGGGATGTTATTGCGCACCTCTGGAGCAGGTTGGACTTGAACCCAGGCCTCCATGTACAAAGGCAGGGACACTACCACTTTGCAGTTATAAACCAGTCAACACCAGACATGGAATGAACATGAAAGGTAGACTCCATAAACTGGGACAGTTGATACAAGAATGCAATCTGAGGTACTAGCATCATTCTACACCATACTCCAACCATCTACAATAACCGCCTGCATTGCACTGCAAACAAGTTACATCTCCTTAAGGTGGATCATCTCCAGCACAAAAACGTCATTTTTTTAAAAAAAAGCAGACCCGTTTGCAGGCAAGTCTCTCTGTTTCAGCCCATCCTGATTGGTCTTAGGGATTTTGTACTTTGTTCCCATCCCATTGCACAAAGCTGGGCCCGGCGCTCTTTAACCCTTGGCTGGTAACGTTATGAGGCTCTTGACAAAAATCGGCTCTTTTATCCAAATAGTGATTAAAATGAGGAGACTGTTGGAAGTAGAACTTGTTTCACGTCTATGCTATTCCACCTGATCTCAATGCCAAGAACCAACCGGTTAATTAACAGAAAAAAAGCAATAATTCTGCAAATTGAGAATATATACATTTTTCAAAATCCAAATCACAATAAATTTGAAAACATGCCTTAACATTTGCATATGTATTCATCTTAGGGTTCACCCCCCGAGAGGACTTTACCTTGCGAAATAATCTTATAACAGGAGAACATTATAACATCGAGAACATCCCACTAATATTAGAGTGGGTCACTTAGCTATTCATTTAAATTATGTATGTGCAATCCAACCAGGATGGGGCTGGTGTGTACAAATTAATTGACTTATAATTTGACGGATGTCTGGGGACAAATATGCTAAACAATAAATATTTGCCTCTTCTCCTCACACGCCCTCTCTAGGTATGTCTTAATTTAAAAGACTGAGGAACTATTCTACCGGAACCGAAATCCATCGGGACACAAAACTACATTCCACCTTCAAACCTTCCTAGCAGGTCGCAACTTAGATATGTTCAAGAACAAATTTGGGGTGGCACGGTGGCTCAGTGGCTAGCACTGCTACCTCATAGTGCAAGGGACCTGAGTTCGATTCCACCCGCGGGTCTGCGTGGGTTTCCTGTGGGTGCTCCAGTTTCCTCCCACAGTCCATAGATAATCAGGTTAGTTGGATTAGCTATGCTAAATTGCCCGTAGTGTTCAGGGATGTGTGGGTTATAAAGGGATGGGTCTGGGTGGAATGCTCTGAAGATCGGTGTGGACTTGTTGGGCCGAAGGGCCTGATTCCACACTGTAAGGATTCTATGAAGAACAAAGAGCAAGCAGCAAACCCAGTCCGGAATAGAGAACAACCGAGATGATCTCCTCAGATTGGACCTGGTTCTGGTCCTATTAGGACCATTTGGGGAAGTGGGACTAAATCAAAGTCTTCACTCGTGAGCAATTGATTGCAGCTATAGCCTCAACACTCGCTTTAAACTGAAGCAGTCTCTCACTCAATCAACGGGAATGCCCCTCCCCGTCAAGATATATAAATAGACATCGAAGCAGCCTGTTTACAAGTTTGTGAGTAAGAAGTTGAAAGAATACTTAATCGGTTTGGAATGATTTCTTTTAAGCGTGAGGGCCACTATCTCGCTTGTCAGTAGTCTCGGCTGTGTCAGGTAAGAAAACTCCTTTTGTGGAGTAACTATCTTTCCGATGCTCCATTAATTTAAACTCAGTAAAACATAAATAACCCCAAAACCTGCTAATTGGTACCTGATTATTTCATTATAGATGTCATGGGTATCATGAAACCGACGGTGATTAAGGCTGGCCAACTGTGAATTGTGTAGAGGTATCTTAGTACAATACCTTTTTTCCCTCCTTTCTCGCCGAGTAGTTTTAAAAAAAACATTTGTGGTGTCCTGTCTTTAGATATTTTTAATCAACCTGTTCAGGTATGACTCTCCTCTGAAGTAAATCAGACTTGATCCAGGTCTCCTGGCTCAGGAGTAAGGAAACTACTACTGCACTGCAATCCACTTCAAAATGCATATCTTTATCTTTATCCTGTTATCAATAGATGGAATTTGTTGCTGGGCTAAGGATTGTTGAATACTTGTAACATAGAACATTACAGCGCAGTACAGGCCCTTCGGCCCTCGATGTTGCGCTGACCTGTGAAACCAATCTGAAGCCCATCTAACCTAAACTATTCCATTATCATCCATATGTTTATCCAATGACCATTTAAATGCCCTTAAAGTTGGCGAGTCTACTATTTTTGCAGGCAGGGCATTCCACGCCCTTACTACTCTCTGAGTAAAGAACCTACCTCTGACATCTGTTCTATATCTATCACCCCTCAATTTAAAGCTATGTCCCCTCGTGCTAGCCATCACCATCCGAGGAAAAAGGCTCCCACTGTCCACCCTATCTAATCCTCTGATCATCTTGTATGTCTCTATCAAGTCACCTCTTAACCTTCTCTCTAACGAAAACAGCCTCCAGACCCTCAGCCTTTCCTCATAAGACCTTCCCTCCATACCAGGCAACATCCTGGTAAATCTCCTCTGCACCCTTTCCAATGCTTCCACATCCTTCCTATAATGTGGTGACCAGAACTGTATGCAATACTCCAAGTGCGGCTGCATCAGAGTTTTGTACAGCTGCAACATGACCTCATGGCTCCAAAACTCAATCCCTCTACCAATAAAACCTAACAGACCGTATGCCTTCTTAACAACGCTATCAACCTGGGTGGCAACTTTCAGTGATCTATGCACATGGACACCGAGATCTTTCTGCTCATCCACACTACCAAGAATCTTACCATTAGCCCAGTACTCTGTATTCCTGTTACTCCTTCCAAAGTGAATCACCTCACACTTTTCTGCATTAAACTCCATTTGCCACCTCTCAGCCCAGCTATGCAGCTTATCTATGTCCCTCTGTAACCTGCAACATCCTTCCGCACTATCCACAACTCCACCAACTTTGGTGTCATCTGCAAATTTACTAGCGCATCCTTCTACGCCCACATCCAGGTCATTTATAAAAATGACAAACAGCAGTGGCCCCAAAACAGATCCTTGAGCTATACCACTAGTAACTGAACTCCAGGATGAACATTTCCCATCAACCACCACCCTCTGTCTTCTTACAGCTAGCCAATTTCTGATCCAAACCGCTAAATCACCCTCAATCCCATGCCTCCGTATTTTCTGCAATAGCCTACCATGGGGAACCTTATCAAACGCTTTACTGAAATCCATATACACCACATCAACCGCTTTACCCTCACCCATTTGGTCACCTTCTCAAAGAACTCAAGGTTTGTGAGGCACGACTTACCCTTCACAGAACTGTGTTGACTATCCCTAATCAAATTATTCCTTTCTAGATGATTATAAATCCTATCTCTTATAATCCTTTCCAACACTTTACCCACAACCGAAGTAAGGCTCACTGGTCTATAATTACCAGGGTTGTCTCTACTCCCCTTCATGAACAAGGGGACAACATTTGCTAGTCTCCAGTCTTCTGGCACTATTCCTGAAGACAATGACGACATAAAGATCAAAGCCAAAGGCTCTGCAATCTCCTCTCTAGCTTCCCAGAGAATCCTAGATAAATCCCATCCGGCCCAGGGGACTTATCTGTTTTCACACCTTTCAGAATTAATAACACCTCCTCCTTATGAATCTCAATCCCGTCTAGTCTAATAGACTGTATCTCAGTATTCTCCTCGACTACATTGTCTTTTTCCTGTGTGAATACTGACGAAAAATATTCATTTAGCACCTCTCCTATCTCTTCGGACTCCACGCACAACTTCCCACTACTGTCCTTGACCGGCCCCAATCTTACTCTAGTCATTCTTTTATTCCTGACATACCTATAGAAAGCTTTAGGGTTTTCCTTGATCCTACCTGCTAAAGACTTCTCATGTCCCCTCCTGGCTCTTCTTAGCTCTCTCTTTAGGTCCTTCCTGGCTAACTTGTAACACTCAAGCACCCTAACTGAGCCTTCACGCCTCATCTCTACATAAGCCTCCTTCTTCCTCTTGACAAGAGATTCAACTTCTTTAGTAAACCACGGTTCCCTCGCTCGACCACTTCCTCCCTGCCTGACAGGTACATACTTCTCAAGGACACGCAGTAGCTGTTCCTTGAACAAGCTCCACACTTCAATTGTGCCCAGCCCCTGCAGTTTCCTTCTCCATCCTATGCATCCTAAATCTTGCCTCATCGCCTCATAATTGCCTTTCCCCCAGCTATAACTCTTGCCCTGCGGTATATACCAATCCCTTTCCATCGCTAAAGTAAACGTAACCGAATTGTGGTCACTATCACCAAAGTGCTCACCTACCTCCAAATCTAACACCTGGCCTGGTTCATTACCCAGTACCAAATCCAATGTGGCCTCGCCTCTTGTTGGCCTATCTACATACTGTGTTAGGAAACCCTCCTGCACACATTGGACAAAAACTGACCCATCTGAAGTACTCTAACTATAGCGTTTCCAGTCAATATTTGGAAAGTTAAAGTCCCCCATAACAACTACCCTGTTACTTTCGCTCCTATCCAGAATCATCTTTGCAATCTTTTCCTCTACATCTCTGGAACTTTTCGGAGGCCTATAGAAAACTCCCAACAGGGTGACCTCTCCTTTCCTGGTTCTAACCTCAGCCCATACTACCTCAGACGAGTTGTCATCAAACGTCCTTTCTGCCACCGTGATACTGTCCTTGACTAACAATGCCACACCTCCACCTCTTTTACCACCTTCCCTGATCTTACTGAAACATCTAAACCCCGGAACCTGCAACAACCATTCCTCTCCCTGCTCTAGCCATGTCTCCGAAATGGCCACAACATCGAAGTCCCAGGTACCAACCCATGCTGCAAGTTCACCCACCTTATTCCGGATGCTCCTGGCATTGAAGTAGACACATTTCAAACCACCTTCCTGCCTGCCGGTACACTCCTGCGACCTTGAAACCTTATTTATGACCTCACTACTCTCAACCTCCTGTACACTGGAGCTACAATTCAGGTTCCCATCCCCCTGTTGAATTAGTTTAAACCCTCCCGAAGAGCATTAGCAAGTTCCCCTCCCAGGATATTGGTACCCCTCTGGTTCAGGTGTAGACCATCCCATTTGTAGAGGTCCCACCTACCCCAGAATGAGCCCCAATTATCCAGGTATCTGAATCCCTCCCTCCTGCACCATCCCTGTAGCCACGTGTTCAACTGGTCTCTCTCCCTATTCCTCGCCTCGCTAGCACGTGGCACGGGTAACAAACCAGAGATAACAACTCTGTTTGTTCTAGCTCTAAGCTTCCACCCTAGCTCCTTGAATTTCTGCCTTGCGTCCCCATCACTTTTCCTACCTATGTCGTTGGGGCCTATGTGGACCAAGACTTGGGGCTGCTCCCCCTCCCCCTTAAGGATCCCGAAAACACGATCTGAGACATCACGGACACTGGCACCTGGGAGGCAACACACCAACCGCGAGTCTCTCTCGTTCCCACATAGTCCTTGGCTTTGGAAATTGAAGCCAGCTAATGTTGCTTAGACTTGTCAAAGGTGATGTGCACAATACTATTTGGAAATAAGGTTTTTTTAAGAAAAATTAGTGAGGTGTTCACTGCAATTTTTGTTTTCTGTCAAGTAACAGAGATTCCTGTTCATTAGCTGAAAGCATGTCAGAATAATTTAGGATTGAGAATATTCACTTATTTACAGGACCCCCTGAAAGCCAGGAACCTGGTTTATAACCAACAAATAAAATCTGTGGATGTTGGAAACCTGAAACAAACAGAAAAGGAAAAAAAAAGTTGCTGGAGCAATGCCACTGGTCAAGCAGCATCTGTGGAGTGAAAGCAGAGTAAATGTTTCAGTCTGCTGACCTTTATTTCAGAATCTTCTCTTCAGATGCAGCCAGACCTATTGACTTTATCCAGCAATTTTGGTTTTTGTGCATTAGAGTTAACAATCTTGGTTTATTGGCAAGGCACTTTCTGAACTATAGTTGTTGAATGTATGTCCCCACAGTAATATTAAGGCATTTTAGGTGTTAGGTTTCAAAAAGACAGACAGCTGATCCAAATCAGCCTTTCTACCTCTGTATTTGCATCACAGGGAAATTTAAAACCTTCAAAGATCCTCAATTAAGCCCAATGGTTCCTAACCAGACTTCTTGAATAACCAAGTAAAAACTGAAAGAACTACAGATGCTGTAAATCAACAAAAGTTGCTGGAAAAGCTCAGCAAGTCTGGCAGCATTTGTGAAGGAAAATAAAAATCAGTTAATGTTTCAGGTCTAGTGACCCTTCCTCAGAATTCATGGTAGCTGTGCAAATGTCAGTTAATATGCAGCAAGTGGGGGTGCGGTGGGGAGTAAACAATAGGATAGAGCCTAAAGGGAAGAGAACAGTTGGATAGACAAAGGAGTTGATAACTATCTGGCTGGGAGGGTGAATAGTTGTTAATGGGGAACAAAAACAAAGCTGCTGGAAAAGCTCAGCAGGTCTAGTAGCATCTGTGAAGGAGAAAACAGTTAACGTTTCCGGTCGGTGACCCTTCCTCAGAAAGGTCACCACAGATGCTGCCAGACCTGCTGAGCTTATCCAGCATCTTTGTTTTTGTTCCTGATTTACAGCATCTGCAGTTCTTTTGGTTTTTAGTTGTTAATGGGGACTGTTAGTGACTAACAGGTGGTTTGTAATGGCAGACTGTGATAACAAGGGTGTGTGGGGTAGGATATGGGAGAGTTTAGGCCCTAAAATTATTGAATTTGATATTGAGTCTGGAGGACTGTAGGGTCCCCAAGTGGAAAATGGGGTGTTGTTCTTCCAGCTGGTGTTGAGCTTTGCTGGAACACTCCAGCAAGCCAGAGACGGATGTTGGTCAGGGAACAGGGTGGTGCGTTAAGGTGGCAGGCAACAGATAGCTCAGGGTCTCTTTTGTGAACAGAATGTAAATGTTCTGCGAAGCGGTCACCTAGTCTACGCTTCGTTTCCCCAGTGTAGAAGAGACCACGCTGTGAGCAGCGAATGCCGCAGACTAGATTCTGGGAAGTGCAGGTGAAGTGTTGCTTCACCTAGAAGGTATGTTTGGGCCCTTGGATAGTGGGGAGGGAGGAGGTAAATGGGCAGGTGTTGCACTTTCCCTTACAGGGGAAGGTGGCATAGGGCTGTCAGTGTTTGGTGTGAAGGAAGTGTGGAGCAGGGTGTCCCAGAGGGAATTGTCCCTGTGGAAGGTGGACAAGGGAGGGGAGGGGACTAGGTGTCTAGTGGTGGCATCTCGCTGGAGGTGGTGGAAATGGTGTCTGATGATCTTCTGGATGTGGATGCTGGTGGGATGGTGGGTGAGGACAAGCGGAACCCTATCATTGATGTGGGAGGGAAGAGAAGGGGTGAGGGTGGAAGTGCAGGAGATGGGTCGGACCTGGTTGAGGGCCCTGTTGATAACTGAGCTGGGGAATCCTTGGTTGAGGAAGAAGGTGGACATTTTGGAGGCTCCCTTGTCAACTTTGGCCTCATCTGAACATGTACGACGGAGACGGAAGAACTGAGAGAATGGGATGGAGTCTTTACAGAAAGCAGAGCACGAGGATGTACAGCCCAGGTAACTGTCGGAGTCGGTGGGTTTACAGTGGATATTAGTGGGCAGTCTATCCCCAGAACAATGAGAAGAGTTAAGAGACGTTGTTGAGGGACTACCACAGCTTATTTTCTTCAGCTAAGAGGGGTGGCCACGGGTACCCGCATGGGCCCTAGTTATACCTGTCTCTTTGTGGGGTATGTGGAACATTCCTTGTTCCAGTCCTATTCTGGCCCCCACCCACAACTCTTTCTCTGATATACCGATGATATTATTGGTGCTGCTTCCTTCTCTCACCTGGAATTGGAAAAGTTCATCGTTTTTTTTCATTTCCAATTTCTGCCCTGCCCTCACTTTCACCTGGTCTATCTCTGACTCCTCCCTTCCCTTCCTTGACATTTCTGGGGATAGACTGGACACTAATCTCCACTACAAACATGCTGACTCCCACACCTACCTGGACTATACATCCTCATACCCTGCTTCTATAAAGACTTTTTTTTTTTTTTGTTTTGAATAACCAATTCCTGACTTCAAAAATAATAAATTCCTGACACTGGTTTGTATCTTCAACAGAAGGTTTACCAGTGTATTAACAATACATTAGATTAATTTGGTTTTTAAATTTTGATGCACTTAATGATTTATGCTTTCAACCCAAAACCTTTGCTTTTAGCCTCATTCATGCAAAAGATAGACCAACAGGGTTAAAAGAAAATAACAAAACTGCTCAGATTGAACTTTTCACGATGTGGTGTTCCATGGGCATAGATGTTTTCCTGGTTGATTTTCTGAAAATGTCAAGATGACCTTGATTGGTAGTTGAGTCAGATTAAGGCAGTTATACTGAACTTAGTTTTCTATTCTGAGCTTCCAAGGCGTGCTCATAGGAGGTTAGGCAAGGAGTTTTCACATCTACATGCTGAAGCACCAACAGTCAGAAAACACTGTCCAAACCCAGTTCGAACTCTAGTCCTTCCCTGATGGACTGAACATCTCCATGAGGTCCCAATTACCATATTAACATCTGTCATCTGGTTGAGCATGAGACCTTCCAGACTTGCTGGAACCAATTCTCAATTACTGATTTAGTAATAGCCAGCATCTGCTTTGTTTTTAAAACTAATGCTCTTCCCTGTTGATGAAGCATCTTTTTGACCAGGAACCAACCTGCCATTAATTTCTAGGCCTGGTTTTGCAAATAAATGGTCTGTTTTGCTTTTAACACTCAGGCCAAAAGTAATCTTTAGCTCAAGTTTCCACTTCACAGCTCCAAACTAAAATTGATAAATGAATAAAATAAAAGTAATGAAAGATAAGTAAGGGTCCTAACACACAATTTTGACCCATCAGTGAAGAAGGAATTGTTTTTCCAAGTTTGCCCTAGGAAATATGCACCAATTGCCTCTGCCCTTCTAGAACCTACAAAATGATCTTGGGTGGTGCTGTGGGATAGAACTAGTTGAGGTTGAAGTATATTTTGTACTTGCACTTCCTCCACCATGTGCTTTGTAAAATTTTAAGCCACTGCTCTGTCCCAGATGGTGTCGCGCTGCTTGTGTTGTTGAAGTTGCAATTTTCCAGGCAAGTAGCCAAGTATTCCCATCACACTCCTGACTTGTCCTTTTGTGGACAGGTTTTGGAGAGTCAGGATTGAATCACTGTCATTAATTAATTCCCAGCTCATGATCAATCTTGAATCTACAGTAACACGGTCTTGGAGGATTGGAAAGCAGGCAAATTAACGCATTCGTTCAAAAAGAGAAGGAGACAGAAAATAGCTAATAACTGTCATTAGGAAAATATTAGTCCATTATAACAGATCTCCTAGTGGAGCATTTAGAATTATAACATCTTTCAAGCAGAGCCAGCATTGCTTCATGAAGGGAAATCACGCTTGACAGATTTACCAGAATTCTTTGAGAAACTATCAAGCAGGATAGATAAAGGGGAACCAGTAGATGCAATATATTAGCACTTATAGGCAGACTTGAGTTGGTGGGCCTACTTCAATTCTTAGGACTGACTACATGCTGCTCCAGTTATGTTTCTAGTCAATGGTGAATGCCAGGTGTGTTGCGATCATCTCCCAAATTGAACTCGGTATTTGTTTTTGTGTGCCTTCATCCTGGAGATTATGTAATCTCGGGCAGAATCAGGAAATGCACGTTTTGTGTATAATGGTATGAATTGTGATAAATTGGAGGTTCAATGTCTAGAATTTCCTAAATTGGGTTTCCTATCTTTTTTCTTAGGAAAATGTCACTTTTTTAGTGAAGTGATTCGGTGACTAATGTTTCTCACTACCTGAGAATAAGCTGCAAATTTCACTTAAATGTGCTGGCTTTTGCCTATCCTTGCAGAAAGGAAAACTGTAAGGGATTCAGTACTGTCAACATTGCTTTCTTTGTAGGCTTGTTTGGTGAACAGTGGATGTGCAAGAGTGAAAATTTTCCAGGCATCTGTATGAAGGCTGCACTTGAACATGGTTGGATTAAAACCGACAGATGTGCCTCCAACAAATGGTGTAAAAGTTGTTGGTGCTGGTGCAGCAGCTTGTGTAGCCGATCTTGTTACATTCCCTCTTGATACCACCAAAGTCAGATTGCAGGTAAAATTAATATGTTTGACTGTTGATGCCTATAATCTCTTGTAAAGCTTTGCTTTTTTCTATTATTGATTATCACTTTATTGCCACACAATCTTGTAATACAAGACTGCAGCAGTGGGTTCTCCTGCAATGGAGGAAAGCATTAATGTGAACTTAAAACTCTTATTGAATCAATTACCAGCAAAAATCTAGTAAAGGCAAAATACTGTGGATGCTAAAAATCTGAAGCAAACACTAAAAATGCTGGAGAAATTCTGCAGGACTGGCAGCATCTGTGGAGATAGAAACAGTCAATGTTTTGAGTCTGATCTGAATTTTTTCAGAACTCCAGTGACCCTGATATCCTTTCCCTACCCCCAACCCACCATGTTCGTAATTCACAGTCTGGGACTGCATAGACATCTAATAAAGGTGAGATGATTGAGATCCCTTTTAAAGGAGAATTGAAAGAAAATGCCTACTAGATCCTATATGGAGACAGAACCACTCCTTCACTCTTTTCCAGCTTTGCTTCCTTTCTAAGTCATGTGTAACTTTGAATATTCAGGTCCCAGACTCCTCTTGCAACAAATCGGTAATTGAAGCAATTAATACAATGTGGTGAGGCACCCTGTTCTTTTATTTCCCTCATGAGGAACAGAATAAAGGCTAGATGGTCATAGACAGGATACAGGGGAATTGTATCCAAAGGACAATTGTTTAGAATAGTTAGTTGGACAGCACACATGTCAGTCTCTAGTAAATGAAGGATGAAATGACTGCAGGGAAATCTACCAGCAAAGTTCGAATATTGGCTAAGTGATTAAAATAATGGACAAGGAAGTAATATCTGTGGACTGGCAAAATGAGGTGAGACAAGTGGCTTGGATGTGGATATAGGAGGAATGGTTAGTAAGTTTGCAGATGACAGCAACATTTGTGGTATGCTGGACAGTGAAGATTATCTGTGTACAACAGAACCTTGATAAGATGAACTGATAGGTTGAGAGTAGCAGATGGAGTTTAATTTGGATAAATGAGGTACTACATGTTGGAAAAGCAAATCAGGGCAGGATTTGTACACTAAATGGTAAGGTCCTGGGGAGTGTTGCCAAATAGAATCCTCTGGGTGCAGGTTCATAGTTCCTTTAAAAGTAGAGTTGTTAGTCAACAGGGTAGTGAAGAAAGCATTTTGTATGCTTGCCTTTTATTGGTCAGTGCATTGTGTATAGGAGTTGGGAGGTCATCTTACAACTGTACAGGGTGTTGGTTAGGTCACTTGTGAAATACTACATGCCATTCTGGTCTCCCTGCTATAGGAAAGATGTTGTGAAACTTGAAATGATTCAGAAAAGATTGACAAGGATGTTGCCAGGGTTGGAGGGTTTGAGCTATATGGAAGGGCTGAATAGGCTGGGGCTGTTTTCCCTGGAGCCTCGGAGGCTGAGGGGGTGACCTTAGAGGCTTAAGGTCATGAGGGGCATGGATAGGGTAAATAGACAAGGTCTTGTATTTTTACCCCACCCCAGGGCAGGGAAGTCCTGAACTAGAGGGCATAGGTTTAAGGTGTGAGGGGAAAGATTTAAAAGGAACCTAAGGGGCAACATTTTTCATGTAGAGGGTAGTGCATGTTTAGAATGAGCTGCCAGAGGAAGCAGTGGAGGCTAGTACACTACAACATTTAAAAGGCATCTGGATAGGTATATGAGCCAAATGCTTGCAAATGGGACTAGATTTAATTCGGGATATCTGTTTGGCATGGATGAGTTGGACTGAAGAATCTGTTCTTATGCTTTAGAACTCTGACTCTGTAATAGAAAGCCATTGTGAATCCCTGCTGAGTCTGGGGATGGTACCGCACCTGAAATAATTAAGTACTAGTGGCAGATTGTCTAATCAATAATAAAATGGAGACAGAAGGTAAGTAGGCTGTAGCTTGGCTATGTTGAACACTTCATTAGAGGTAGAAGCCACTTATGATTTGGAAGGTTTGATAGCTGCCAACAAATTGTAAACTGAATTTAGTTGGATATATTGGAAAGCATTTTGGTGCCTACTCTACAGATGCTGATAGGGAACTGCCAATCTTCCATCAATGGATAAGTATGGGGAAAGGTCTTCCTTCAGATGGGACAGAGACTTGAAGATCCAGATAAGAAAGTCACTCCCCACAGCAAGAAGAGTAATCTAGAAAATGCTTTGGCTTTGTTGCCCAATTGCTCGGGAGAACGTATAGGTTGTTTGTCTTATTGGTTGCAGGGAGAATTTTTATTTTCAAACTGCCTGAAGAGGCAATCGATGTCCTAAATGTTGTGAAAAAGCAAACAAATATTGTCAACTTAATGTGTTGAACATATGGTATTTCTCTTTTTAACACTGTCTGGCTGAACTTTGGATCTGCTTTCAGTTGAGTATAGCTAACAATGTTTTCCTGGTATGGAAAAGGCAACTATTGGGTATCTTTGATGCAAGTCAATGATTTTCCACTTGGACATTCTGTGGAAGTTAAACAGTTTGCTTCTAGATAATATAGATGGGGATTTAAGACTGGAATCTGACTTCTGGGGCCCCAGTGTATAAAGACTCTGACGTTAAACAGAATTGGTACTGGGTAACCTTCAATCAACAGTCTTGTTTGGAATGTGTCACTTCATGGCAAGAATCACAGACTGACTGACTGCCACTTGTATCCCAACTTAAACTGCTGCGTTGCCAGAGAAAGATGACCTTTTCATCTAAAGTTGAAGAAACTGAGCAACTAAGAAGCTCAATTGGACAATTGAACTGCCAAGTGACCTGACCAGAGGCCAGGCATGAGATACTATGATGAAATATTACAATTCAAGATATTTAAAAGTTTGAAAATTGAGAAATGTGTGCTCTAGTTCCCTGCAATTTTAAGGACCTGAAAGAAATGAAAAATTGTCTATTTTCAGTGGCACTTCACAGATCTAGTTTTTTTTTTTTTTAAAAACTTCGCATTCCTTATAAAAAGGAACATGGGATCATAGGACTGTGGAGCGTGGGTAGGCCACTGAGCCTCCTACCACCACCCCCATGTAGTCTTGTCTCTACTGTCTGTCTGCACATAACCTTGACTCACCATCCATCAAAATTCTGTCTAAGGTGGCCTTGTTTGTAACAACAATACCTTTTTTAATCATCTAGGGAAGGAAATTCTATGTACTAATGATTGAGAGAAAAGTTCTCCTCATCTGTCTCAAAGAAGAACTCTTGGTCTTGGACTAAAAGTGGGAAGATATTTTCTTCCACACTTGAAGAATCCTCCTAGGTCTTCTCTCCCAACTATCTGCTCCTCCCACCTCACTGACCAATCCCCACCGCTTTCTACCTACACCCCCCTTTTTTACTAGCTTCATCCCTGCCTCCTTGGCCTGTCCATCCTCTCTCTACCTGCTATCACTGGCCCCCCCATTTATTTCAGAGCCCCCTTCCCCTCCCCCATTTCTGAAGAGGGGTCCTAACCCGAAACGTCAACCTTCCTGCTCCTCTGATGCTGCCTGGCCTGCTGTGTTCCTCCAGCTCCACACTGTTATCTCAGACTCCAGCATCGGCAGTTCTTACTATCCCCTCCTAGGTATCCATTCTGTCTTTCTCCTCCTGGAGAAGTGCAAACATGCAGTTGGGAGATGGTGATATGAAGTACTCTAAGAGGAAGTGGGATGTTATTTCACTTTTTTCTTTTTGTTTTGGGGATTCATACATAAGGGTGAATGGCCAAGCCCCTTTTTTAGGCAAGGGATGTTTCACATTGTAAAAAAAGTATTGTAATACTGCAGAGCCTGTTCACTTCAAATGAAGCAAAACAGAACTTGGAGATTTTGACTTTTTAGACACTTTAGTAACACTCCATACTTCAAGGTGATATATGGAATTTCTACACTTTGATAGCAAGAATGGTTGCTTTGGGGTTTTGAAACTTGAATACATGAAACCTTCAGCACCACAGGCCACTCTGGCCTTTAAGGTCATGGTAGATCTGTTTGTCTTAACTCTACTGTCCTGTCTGCCCCCTTTTTTCATTTGTTTGAGGTGTCTGATTTTTACACTGACTCTTCAGAACTGAATTGTCATTCTGGACTGGATATGTTGACTGTTTTTTTCCTTCTTGATGGTTGTTGCCACCTCCCCCTCTTTCCCTATTTATTTCAGAACCCCCTTCCCCTTCCCCATTTCTGAAGAAGGGTCTAGGCCCGAAACATCAGCATTCCTGCTCCTCTGATGCTGCTTGGCCTGCTGTGTTTATCCAGCTCTACGCCTTGTTATCCCAATACACTGTATTCCTGCAGGTGTTTGAAGGTCACTACCCAGCCCAAGTTGACGTTGTCACAATCCTAACTGTTGGAAACAGGTCCTCTGGTTGGGTGAGATGGACAACTTATACCTACATTGGCTCTTCAGAATCCCTGGCCCTGATCTATTCTTAAAGTTAATAGGCTAGATGTTGAGTCAGTGTTTCTGGTTTAAAGAAAAATTTCTTTTCCAAGAAAGCTGAAGAGCCATGCCACTGTGGTTAGGGGATGATAGGGATAATACTGGGATCATTTACCTTCTGGATAAGAGCTGGAGTCTTCAGTTGTCATGGTAGCTGTCAGCTACAGTAGTTGGATTGAAGCCCAGATGGAATTCTTAGGTGTAGCTTTCAGGCAGAATGGAGCAAAGTATTTAACCAGAATTTGACCCCCTAATTGGAAATCTTCCACTCCTTGTCTTTTGGCCTAGTTGATTTACTGGATGGACCATTATTGTTTAGTGTCAAATCTACAGCATAGAGACAGGCCCTTCAGCCCAAGTTGTCCATGTTGCCCAGTAAACTTGCATTCCCCAGTTGGCAATCCAGGATGCCTTGCTGACCGTGCCAAATCCTGACCACTAGGCAAAGCAAGATAGATTCATGATGGTTTTTTTCCTCCTGTGACAGAATAGACACTGGTATGTTTTCACTTTGCTGTTCTTGCAGAGAAACAGTAGGATCTTGTGAAACCACAATTGTTTGACAATACAGAAATTCAGCCAAACGCACAGTGCCCCATGGTTTGTAGTATTGTGGGACCTTGGCACATATTGAACTAAGCTAGGACTGTTTTATGCTCCGGATGCATGAGTGGACCAGAAACAACTTCCTGGGCATGCATTTGTTAAAATGTAGCCTTTCATTTTCTTTATAAACGACTAATGCAAACTAATAAATATGCATTAAGACATTTTAATGGAAAGACATAGCAACTTGATTGTGACTGAGATTATAGAAATCTTAATTAACTGAATTAAGGTTAATCAAAACTCCAATCCTGTTCATATCTTAGATTCAAGGGGAATCCAAGTCTATCAACAATGTGACCTCTCCAAAGTATAGAGGCGTCTTTGGTACCATGGTGACGATTGTGAAAACTGAAGGAGCAAGAAGCCTCTATAATGGCTTGGTGGCTGGTCTTCAACGTCAGATGAGCTTCGCATCAGTGCGTATTGGGCTTTATGATTCTGTCAAACACTTCTACACCAGTGGATCTGATGGTGAGTGTCTTCAGGTGTGGTGTGGGTGATGGATGGAACCCCTTGATGAAAGGAACATCTTTCATCTTGAACAGGTTGGCACTGTGCTGCTTGACCATAATAAGCATCGTGTGTGGTTCAGGAGCCTGTGGCATTCTGTCACATTTGATGCAGCAGTCTGCTATCCAGTGAAGTTGGCTTGCTGATTCCAGGGCTGGTTGAATTGGTAACTTAGTGCCAAGGAAAGTTGAATATAATTAAGACAAGCTTGTTGAGCCTCTCTTTCCTTGGGGATGAGGATGTGGCTGGCTATGCCAGTATTTGTCTTGGAGAAGGTGATGAGCGGCTGCCTTCAGCCACTGCAGCTTCTAGTTTAGGTACATCCATGTTGCTGTTAGTGTTTTACCAGTGAATAGTGATTGTGGTACCAAATCAGGCTGGCGTGTGGCTTGGATGTGAACATGCATGTGGTGGTGTTGGTGTTCCCATGTAGATGCTGCCCTCCTCCATTTAAATGATAGAGGATGAGAGTTTGCAAAGTGCTGTCAATAGAGCCTTGGTGAGTTACTGCAGTGCATCTTCTCGGTGTTGCCACTGTATGGTTAACAAGGTACCTGTCTGAGTCTCGACATAATGTAGAAGATTGTGCTGAGGATGCAGACTTTGTAAACCTTGCTGTTTTAGTGCTCTCTTGTCAGGAGGTCACAGTTCTTCACAATTTCAGATGTAACAATCGCATCTTTTGTGTATCCAACCTCCCCACCTGATGCTACTAACCACTTCAAGTATCTCCCCATTGATGCTAACAGCTGATGGTGTGGTAACATTCTGAACCGTGACACTGGCAGCAGGAAGACAATGGTCAAACCAATACTGCATTTTGCTGCTGAAGGTGTTTCTAAGTTTTTTGGAATGTTGGTTTGGAGAAACTGAGTACTTTCCATATTTTTTTTTTTTTTGCTTGCCTGAGATTCAAGACATGTCGAACAGCTTTCCCTCTCGACTGGTACTTGAGTAGACAGTCTCTGTAGTTGATCTGAAAGTGTGTGGCTGCAGCAGCAGCAGAGAAGGATGTGCCAAAGAATATTAATGCCAGAACACAACCCTGTTTGACTGTACTTACTGTGCCACCATTGCTGACCTTGCCCCCACCCCCATCTCCTTGAAGAGATCACACTGAACATCTCTACTGGGCATACAATTATCTCCAGCAACTTAGACTTGTCTTTTGGTTGCATGGTTTAATTGGTTTGGGGTGTAAGTGTTCCAAGGTGGCATTACAATAACTGCAAAATTAATGGTGACCTTGGGCTACCCAAACATCAGGCTCCCCTTCTCGGCCTCCCTGTTGACTCAATTTCTGCTCCTTGCTGAGGATTTGGCATTGGAGAGACTGCAGTAACAAGGAGAGACCTTCACATTTTGGCTTTCTGTTTTGCATTGCTAATCAGAGGTGTGCGCTGAAAATGAGAAAAGGTAGCACATGGAGGCTAACTCTCTTCATCCACACCCATGGCACTTCACTTCCTTTTTAGGTACCACATATGTAAAAGTTGCCAACCATGAGAGCAGGAGCAGACTTCAGGAGGACATAGATTGAAATGAATAGATACATGACAAATGAAATTTTAATGTAATGACATGTGAGGTGATTTATATTTATAAGGAAAAGTAACCAACTATAAATGGTACAAATTTTACAAGACTTGCAAGAACCAAGTGAATCTGCAGACTTAAATGCCAAGTTGCCAAGGAAGCTAGAGTACAGGACCTCTTCTCTTTTTCATAAGAGAGGCACTGAATACAAAAACAAAAGTTTTTATGGTAGGAATTGATAGATAAATCCTGATTTAGGCCTCACCTGCAGTATTGTCTAAATTGAGACACCATGATTTTAAGGATGTCAAAAGGGCATGGAGCAGATTTACCAGAAAAGGAAGAATTGAGGGACTTCAGCTGAGACAAAACATTGGAGATGCTGGACTTGACCCCCTCCTGCTTTTTTTTTTTTAAAAGCAAATACATTTTTAAATAATTTGATAAATCTCCATTTTGAACAGGTCAATGGGAGGAAGCTGTTTCATCTGGAATTCAGAATTGAAGCAATTGATAAATAAGGGTTTTTGTAACATTATAACTAGTCTGTGTAAAATATTGTCCTAAGGGGTTTTTTTAGAAAAAAACCCCTTAGGACAATATTTTACACAGACTAGTTATAATGTGGAATGTAGTCCTTCAAATGGCGAAAGCAAGGCAGTAAATTTTGAAAGGGAATTTGAGATGTTTCCAGGGTTATGGGAAAGGCGGTGGAGCTATTTGGATGAGGTAGAACCAGCCCAGGCACAGAGCTGATATTAAACAGGAGGGTGGCTATGATGCTATTATTCCATCATTACAAGCTGTAATGTAACGCTTATCCTCCATGCAATCCTATAATTTAAATATAGTCACCCCACTGTTCCCATATTGAATGAACCTGTCTAATCAAACCTAGATTGTTGGCAGTCTCTATACTTCTTAGGAGTGCTTTCCAGACCACCCCCCCAACTCTTGCACTAATCACCTTGCCTTTTTACCCCAGCTATTACCGTCAGTAGTCGTTTGCTTGCTGGCTGCACAACAGGAGCCATGGCAGTCACCATGGCACAACCAACAGATGTGGTGAAAGTAAGGTTTCAAGCACAATTGAACATAACTGGTGTGAGTAAGAGGTACAGTGGGACCATAGACGCCTACAGAAAAATTGCTAAGGAGGAAGGACTTCCAGGATTATGGAAAGGTCTGAAAATTTCATAATACTTATCACTCAAAGACTGATAATGTAGACCAATGTGAGGGATCATTTGTGGTAATGAGCACTTGAAAGGCTGAAGTGGGAATATTCAGGGTCTATTACCAATCAATGCTCAAAATGACTGAATTGATTTTTGTTTTGCTTTACTACAACTTCCTGAAGGGGTAAGGAAAGGCAGTCAAATTTAAAACGGCCTAGCTGAGAAAGTTTGCACTTAAGGCAAAAACTTTCTAGATTGAGAGCAGTGCACTAGGACTGCAAAGAACGAACAGTGCAGCACAAGAACAGGCCATTTGGCCCGCCCAAGTCTGCACTGACACATGACCCCCTTCTCTGAAGTAAAACCCCTTGTCTCTACATAGACCCATGTTTTTCTATTCCCTGCCTATTCATGCGTCTGCCAAGATGCCTCTTCAATGTTGCTATTATATCCGCCACCTCTGGCAGTGCATTCCAGGTATTTATTACCCTTTTTTTTTTTTTGTTTTTCTTAAAAATAACACTTGCCCCTCGTGTCCTTTTTTAAACTTTCTCCCCTTACCTTCAACCTACTAATTGAAACTTCTACTTGGGTGGTGGGGGGGAGGAGAAAAAGACTTTGACTATCCATGCCTTTCATTTAATTTTTTGTAAACTTTCTATCAGGTTGCTCCTCAACCTCTGGTCAAATGAAAACAAACCAAGTTTGTCCAATCTCTCCCTTTCTTAGCTAATATCCTCCAAACAAGGCAACATCCTGGTGAGCTGTTTTAGTACTTTTTCCAAAGCCTTCACATCCTTCTGACAGTATGGTGATCAGAACTGTATGCAATATTCAAAATGTGGCCTAAACTAAAGTTCTATACAGCTACAAGATGACTTGCCAATTTTTATATTCCAGCCCGACTGATGCCATATCTGTATGTTAAAGGTTCTGCCACTTGCTGTATCTGGATTAAATTCCATCTGCTATTTCTTTGCCTAAGTCTCCAACCTATCTATACCCTATTGTGTCCTCTGGCAATCCTCCTTACTATCTGCAGCTCCTCCAAATCTTTGTGTTGCCCACAAACTTGGATATATCAAACAGGGATCCCAACACTATTCCCTGTGGAATCCCACTGGTCATTGATTTAATGGTTTTTTTTAAAAAAAAAAAACACCTTCCACCACAACTGTCATCTATGACCAAGCCAGCTCTATATTCATTTTTACCAGCTCATTGTGAATCCTATGTGACTATTTTTTTTTGTATCCGCTTGCCACAAGGGACCTTGTCTACATGGACTTTAGCAAGGCCTTTGACAACATCCACCACCCTGCCCTGATCAATTGTGTTTGTCACTTCCTCAACTCAATAAGTTTGTAAGACTCAACCTTCACTGCACAAAGCCTGCCCCATTGCTAACAAATCCATATTTATCCAAGTGTGAGTAAATCCTATCCTTGAGAATCTCCTAATTTCCCAACTGCTGATGTAAAGCTCACCAGCCTGTAATTCCCTAGATTATCCCTATAGCCCTCCTTTTAAAGGAACAACATTGGCTATTCTCCAAACCTCTTTATGAGGATAGAAAATATTTTGTACAATTTCCCCACCTGCCTCCCCCAACATTCTGGATAGATCCCTTCAGGTTCTGGGGACTTGTCCACTTTTATGCTTTGTTTTTATATCAACATGCCCTAGAATATCAACAAACCCCTCTCTAGGCTCTCCATTATGTCCTTCTCCTTTGAAAGTCAATGCAGTATTTAAGGACCTCACAAACTTCCTCTACCTCCTTGCATAAATTCCTGTCTTTGTTTGTGAGTGGACCTACCCTTTGCCTAGCTACCCTCCTGCTCATAGAACATAGAACAATACAGCACAGTACAGGCCCTTCGGCCCACGATGTTGTGCTGACCTGTTATCCTACTAAGATCAAACTACCATGCATACTCTACATTTTACTATCCTCCATGTGCCTATCTGAGAGTCGCTTAAAAGTCTCTCTAGTATCTGACTCCACTACCAGTGCCGGCAGCACATTCCACACGCCCACCACTGAAGAACCTACCTCTGACATCTCCCCTATACCTTTCTCCAATCCCCTTAAAATTATGCCCTCTCGTAATAGCAATTTTTGCCCTGGGGAAAAGGTCTCTGACTATTCACTCTATCTATGCCTCTCATCATCTTGTAAACCTCTGTCAAGTCACCTCTCATCCTCCTTTTGCTCCAATGAAAAAAGCCCTAGCTCCCTCAACCTTTTATGCATGTATAAAATGCCTTGGGATATTCCCTAACACTGTCTGCCAAGGACGTTTCATGACCCTTTGTAACCCTCCTAACTCCTTGGACTGTTGAAAATCTGAAATAAGTACAAATGCTGGAAATACTTAGTGGAGCTGGTCACATCTTCTGAAATTGATTATTGACTGCTTTTATGCCCTCGCCCACAGAAACAAATCACCATGTTTTGACCTTTTTTAAATAATGTGTAGGTTCATTGCTTTTATATATGCAGTTAAATAGCAGCCAATACAATTCCTAATAAGCTGAATAACTTCAATGTGCATAATTTGCTACAAAATTGAAGAGATTAATTCGGATGTCACGAAGCCTTTTTTTTGCAGGTACTCTGCCAAATATTATTCGCAATTCTGTTGTGAACTGCTCGGAGCTAGTGACATATGATTTGATCAAGGAAGGGCTGATCAAGTATAACTTTATGACTGGTAAGCATTGCACAATAAATATAAAAGTCAAAACTTTTCTTAACAGCTCAAACTAATAATTCCGGTTTTGTTTGCAGATAACCTGCCATGCCACTTTTGTTCTGCTTTTGGTGCTGGATTCTGCACAACCATTGTAGCTTCACCTGTTGATGTAGTAAAAACAAGATACATGAACTCTGCTCCTGGCCAATACAGCAGTGCCTTAAGTTGCTCCTTTATCATGCTGACAAAAGAGGGATTCACAGCTTTCTATAAAGGGTAACTCTTTTTATTTAGCTAATATGGGCAACAGGCAGACTTTGAATATGAAATCAAGGATATTTTCATACCATTTTTAGTTCTAACTGGCCAACAGTGTAACTCTAAACAAATTCAGTTACTGTTCTGTACCGTCTCCTCTATATTATAATCTGGATACTTAAGGATGTTCAAGAGACTAATTGCTTTAAACACTTGGTTTGAATTTCTGTATGGACATCTCTATTTCACACCCACCCTCCCCACTAACACTGCTATTCTTCCTTCCCACCATTCCTACAATATTTATCTTCAGATGTCTGAATTTGATTTCTCCATCCAACCTGCCCCCTTGCTAGTAAATTCTTGGCTACCACACCAAAATGGTTTTCTTTCCCAGAGGTGAGAGACTGTGGGGCTATCCTGCTCCTGCTCCCACTCCAGTACTGTTGATAACTCAACTCGTGTTTTTGAACTAGCCTTGTTTTCCCACCAAGACCCGTAAATGTTTTTTTTGCCTTGTAACTCTGTTCTTGCCTTCCCACCTCCTGTTCAATTTCACTTTGGGTAGTTTGTGTCCATCACACAGCATCCTGTCAATCTGTGTTGGCAGGCTACCAGTCCCTGAACTGTCATTGATGCTATTCCCTCAACTCAATCAGGCTAAATTTTGTTTGTTTTTTTTTTTTTTTTTTAAAAATTCATTCATGGATGAGGGTATCATTGTCTGGATGAGCATTTATTGCCCATCTCAATTGTCAACCACATTGCTGTGTGTCTGGAGGCTAGACCAGGTAAGGGTGGTAGCTTCCTTCCCTAAAGGACATAAGTGAATCAGATGGGTTTTTCTGATAATCGGCAATGGATTCATGATCATTAGACTCTTCTTTCCAGATATTTAGTGAATTCAAATTCCACCACCCGCCATGGCAGGATTTGAACCCAGGTCCCCGGAGCATTAACAAGTTGCTGGAATAGCTCAGCAGGTCTGACAGCATCTGTAGAAAAATCAGTTAACGTTTTGGGTCCAGTGACCCTTCCTCAGAACCCAAACCTGAAACAGTAACTCTGATCTTTCTTCACTGATGCTGCCAGACTTGCTGAGCTTTTCCTGCAACTTCTGTGTTTATCGCTGATTTACAGCGTATGCAGTTCGTTCTTTTTTTCCCCCAGAGCATTACCTGGGCCTCGGGATCAACAGTCCATCGGTAATACCACCAGGTCATTGCCGCCCCACAACTAATTTAAAATTTGGCTCCATAACTCAACTCAACATTATTTATCGAATTGCTTATTTCAATGTCAGTAAGCTTGTTTCTGAGACTTTTATTTTACTTCTGAGGTAGATTTTTGGAAGATTTGCTTTCTCGATTAATTATAGCAAAATAATTTTATTTTGCAACAGGTTTATGCCCTCCTTCCTGCGTCTGGGATCATGGAATGTGGTAATGTTTGTTACGTATGAACAGTTGAAACGTGCAATGATGCTGGTGAAGCAGTCCTGGGAATAATCATCTTGTTCCATGTTTTATATATTTTTACATCAAAGTTTTTAATATTTACCATGTTTATATAAATCCAAAGGGCATGGATTTCTTGATCATTCTGTTTTAAAGAATGATTCAAACTGTGGGCATGTCGCTGGTCGATTGCAATGCTATTATCTTGCTGCTGCTTTACTTCTTAATTTGAGGTAATTTGTGAATATATTTTTGTGAAGGTGAATAAAGATAATTATTTGATGTATTGTCTCTTCTGGAATGTAGAAACAAACTAATGACCCCATTACCTCTACTTCTAATATAATCGGTGATTTTTTCCCCCCCCCTCCAAGTCTGAAGTATTGTATAGACTATATATATTTTTTAAAGTTCATTTCATGGGTTGCCAGACAGGCCAAATGCTGACTGCAGTTGTGAGGGTGAGTACAGAGTACACTTCTGTATTTGAGTCATTCACTTGCATGGTCAAAAATGGATAAAGCATGATTTAAGGATCATGTTATCAAGCAATGACTTGGTTCTAAGTTAAACACAAACACAATTGCTTTTAATTCCAGAAAATGTTAAATATTGCAGATCTTCAGCTTCTGGAAAAGCTCAACAGATCTGGCAGCTGCTATAGAGCAAGAGAAGGTTAATATTTTGAGATCAATATGATTTGATGTTAATGAAACCTTAATTTCTCAATAGTGTTGGGCTTAACATGACCTCTTTTCTTTCTTCACAGATACTGCCAGACCTGCTGAGTTTCTACAAGACTTTGTTATTTCTGTGGTCTTTGTTTGGTGTGACATGTCTAGAAAACAACTCTAATTCTGATCTTTGCTTCATGTGCAAGTGAAACATATGCATTGTTAGCATTACTGCAACATATGGCTTCTTGTTTTGGTTATTTAAAACAACTTCATTTCTGTAATCTGGTATGCTGATCTTTGTTACAGTAAGAAATCCAGACAAGTTTGGATTCTAATGTCAGGTGCTTTTATTCTGTTTTTGTTTTAATTAAATACAATCCTTACCCTCTTTGCATCACAACTTGTTGAAAGCATTTGTATTTACATGTCATCTTATAGGCAATAAAGTATTTTAAGTTTTTTTTTGTCAATGTTCTACAGTAGCATTGAGACAGCAACTAATATATACACAGCATGGCCTTGCAAACAGTGAAAAGGGTCAAGTCTAGCTGCATCTATTCTGCTTGGCATCGCAGAACACAGCAATCATAACTTAGCAGCACCAATTGTATGCTGGTGGCCTAGTAGTGGTAATGTCACTAGTCTGTTGAAACCAATTGTTCTGCCTCATGATGTAGTTGGGGTGATTTAATAATAGCAGATAGCAATAAGAGGGAAAAACTTCTGACACAACTTGTGTTTTATTCCCAGAAGTTCAAAAATAACTATCTCTTTAGGCTCAAAATGCTGGAGCTTCATTGTGTATTTCTTGTTGCTCTGTGTGTGACCAGAGGCATGGATGTCATGAGCATGCACCTAGGTGCTGAAGTGAGCAGCACTGAGATACCACCTGGACCAAGCCCTGAGCTGGGTACTTGTCCCTTCATGCAAAGTATCCATGCAGCAATATTTCACCATTGGCAAATCCTTCAAACATGCTGGTCTGTGCTTCCTCAGTGCTCTGCAAATGAGAGGAGTATCATGATGGTCATAAGGGGTGGGGAAAATCAGATGCCAATGTCTGTAGAAGAAGTATATGTCTGGTGCCCATGCATAGTACCCTGAGATATCGTTTAGTGCTGAGCAACATGAAGGCTCTTCACTGCCAACAGTGAGCTGAAATATCCAGTTGTTTCATTTTTTTTCTTTCTTTTTTTGGCATGTTTGGTCAGACAGGAAGCTGATCAATGAGGTGACTTGTGGCATTAATGACGCAGTTAACAAGATTATACCTTTCTTCCACCCCCACCCTTTAATTGCCTAGTGAGGAAGATTGCATTGTCACCTGGCAGATGTATAACAGATGCAGTGAATTTCTCTTGACATTGAGGCGTTGCCAGATGACTTGCACAATTCTGCTATGAATCTCCCATCTTTCACCTCTGTTTTCTAAAACAGTCTGCCCTTTTGTCTGTGTGCTTTTCTTTTTACAATGGACAGGTATTGAAAAATCTTAAAGCAATCAGAGCTATTTACAGTATAACACCTCAGTCAATAAAGAAAATATTTGTGTTTGAGGTTTTAATGTAGCAAGAAATTTTTGTAATTTTTAGCTTGACAGAGATCAGAAACTAGCAGCCTTCACATTCCCTTCTACTGTACAAGGTTAAATCTCTTGCCTGTTTAGTCTTGACAAAGTGTAAAATAACCGTCAGTGCAGAATTACCTCAACATTAGGCATTACTAGTTTTGACTTTTTTTATTGATTTCCTCCTCCAGTCTTCATGGGCCTAACTCCACCAGCCAAACCCCAGGATCTCCACTCGAGCGATCAGCAGAAGACTGTGCCCTCCCTGTAGGATGACAGGCAGTTTTCCAGAGCTTGCTACGCAGCCTGGTAGCTGGCAAAGATGCCCTAGCCCCTCTGAAACGCTATCCACCTGGCTGTGTTAGCTGAGGGGAGGCGGGGGTGGGGGGAAATTGGAAAGATGGAAATTTCTCATTCATGAAGATGACTGAGACCCTCCACATGGATTGTGAATTCTAGGACCACTGTGCCACAGTGGATAAATCAACTGCTGGAAATGATTGAGGCTTTGTTTCCTCTATTATCCTCCAAGACACTACAGTCTCCATTAAAAGACGACAGACTGACATTTGGAAATGTAAGAACTTCAGCAGGGCATAAACAGTACTGAAGGTTTATACAATTGTGTATAATACTGCCTTTTGTAGGGTGGTGGAAACAGATGACCCACTTATCCATCCAGCTCCGGCTAAACAATAATCAATTTTGAAAAAGGCAAAAGCATTTACTTATAAGTAGGTGTGTTTGAGTGTAGTCCAGAATCTTGAATGCATTCACAATTTAGAATCACAGGTTAGCATAGGTCTAGGGTACCAAATAAAAATCAGCCAAGGTTTCCTTACTGATATAAATCAAAAAAAAACCTGAAAATTAAAATTTGTAACTAGTAGAATTGTAACTAGAGTCATTTGTATAATGTTTCATAAATTAAAATCTACATTTTACTAAGTGGTGTCTCATTTAATGTGGGAATACATGGTTAATTGTCAGAGATTACCTCATTTATTTGGAAGATGTTCTTCCAACTTCAGGGAAATAATAATTGACAGAAGTAAGTTTTGGAAGCCTCCATTTCTCACTTGACAGGAAGGTGGATCTGGGTATCAATGACTGACAGATTCACTTCAGGGACATAGTTTTTGTAACTTCAGTAAGTTTACTGTAATACCTTTTTTGTACATATTTTAAATAGAACTAGCCTTAAGTTCTGCAAGTTTTGATTGAGGTAATTTTTTTAACATGGTGTGAAAGTCACCTGTTCATTTCTGACTGATCTAGTCAATGAAATTGCAAATATGGGGGTTGGGCAACACAGAGGTAGAGAAAAGGACACTTTAATTGAATTTTGATATCTTACAAAAACCAGTTGATAGATGGAAAAGTAGAGTTATTTGCCTGACCAGGACCAGTATCCTCCAGTAGGCAGTTTCTTTCTGCTTTCCTGAATGAGTAGCACACCTACCCACTCAAAGGTAGCATGGTCCAAACTGACATAAACATGCAGAGTGCATGAGGAGTTGACTACAATTTGAACACCAACTAATCAGTGAAGTTGATGCAACATTTGCACTCGAATAATGCAGGACAGTAGAAAATCACTCCAAATATAAACCAAAGAAAAGTGTTTTGTTCTATCCTTTGTAGGGCCAATTTACTGGTTATGGCACAGGATTTCTTTCAACTTGAGGTATTATTTGTTAATCTTGAGAAAGGACACCAAGTAAACTTGAACTACAGAAGCAACTTCCTCTGCATGTCAGTTTGCGCCCCAACTGTGTGCTACGCCCTTCCTGGATATCCTCTTGTTACAGCTTTCTCAGGCTCAGTGACATTCAGTGATGCATAGGCACACTGGATGTACTGTGCCACTTCCATGCATGGTGTCCCTTTAAGGTACATTTTTGTCTCAAAAACACTGAAATGACAACTAAAATAAAAGCAAAATACTGCTAATGCTTGAAATCAGAAAAAGAACAAAATGCTGGAAAATTCAGCAGACTGGGCATCAACTGTGGAGAGAGAAACACAATTAATTATTCAAGTCCAGTACAACTCTTCAGGACTGGAGAGGAAAATGGGATGGGTTTCACACCATCGAAAAAGGAAGCTGATGGTTGTGGGTGGGGTGTGGCAGAAAAAAGGACAGCTATGTGTAAATCAGAAAAACAACATTCAGATTGGCACAGACAAAAAAAATGAAATAAAATGGAGGACAGAGTTGTTGAACTCGACATCGAATCCAGGAGTCTGTAAAGTGCCAAACTGTTCCTCATGCTTGGAAAGGCAATTTATTCAAAAAGACCTTATTATTACTATTAATGTACAAAAAAGGGCTAAACCAACAACATCCTCTGATTTCTCTTCATCTGATGATAAAACATCTCTCTTTCAAGGGATCAAGAACAGGAATAGTATTCATACATTCCAATCTATTGTGATTTATACTTTTACTTAATATTATTTTTATACTGTTTCTATAGTGTTTTTCTAAGCTTTTTTTGCATTTGGGTCTACAGGGTATGAGTTCAGCTCCTTCTTCCCTGTATTCTTAAATGTAAGGTTCTTTACCTTTAACTGAATATGGTAGGGGAACTGAAGGCAGTGTGTTATACCATCTGTAGCATGTGGGAATTCCTAGCTGCTTTTAGCAGTCTGGATGACCAACTCTGTAGGAAGTGCCTCTAGTTTGACAGCTTGTGCACTGGTTGGAGGTACAGAGGTGCTTCCATGAAGTTGAGGGCTACCTGGATCACTCATTTTCTGAGGTACTCACCCTGCAGTTTAAGGAGCTTCAGGCAGATAGGGAATGGGTGACCAGCAGGCAGAGAGAAGGGGCCGGGCGGGCAGAGAAGAAAGCCCCAGAGGCCATCCCACTTGGTATCCATTTTTCTGTGTCGGAAAACAATGGCAGTGAAGGTTCCTCTGGGAAGAGCAAAATTCACTACACTATGAGTGGATCAGCTGCATGAGGGGGTTGGGGCAAAAGTCCAAGGGAATACTGATAGGTGACTCAAATTAATTAGGATAGTTGTAGTGCAAAGGCATTAGAGAGTGCAGATTTCTTGAAATGTATTCAGGAATTTTTTTATATCAACACGTAGAAGATCCAACCAAGGCTGGTGCTATGCTGGAACTAATTCTGGGGAATAAAGCCGGTGACATTTAGTGATAGCGACCACAACACCATTTTAAATTTGTCATGGGAAAGGAAAAAGATGGTCTGCAACAAAGGGTTTTGATTTGGGGCAAGGCATATTGAATTAAAATAAGGTAGGATCTGGGCAGAATAGACTGGGAACAGTTACTTGTGGGAAAATCTACAGCAGAACAGTAGGAAGCATTTAAAAAGGAAATGAGGAGTGTACAGACCCAGCATATTCTCTTTAGGACGAAATGTAGAAGCAACAAAACCAGAGAACCCTGGATGTCTAGGAATATTCAGGATTAGAAGGAAAAGAGAGGCTTTTAGTAATGAATGCAGGCCCCAGTGGAAGTTTAGAAAGTTTGGGGGGGAACTTAAGAAAGCAACTAGGAGAGCAAAGAGAGGGTATGAAAAAACACTGGCAAGTAAAATTCAGAAGAATCCAAAAATATTTTGTAAGTATATGAAGGGGGAAAGGATAACCAGGGAAAGAGTTGGGCCCATTAGGGACCAAGAGAACAATGTGTGTGTGGAGCCACAAGACACAGGAGCAGCATTAAAGGAGTACTTTTGCATCTGTCTTCACTTGGGGGGATGCAGGGACTGAATTTACAGAAAAGGACTGTGAGGCTCTTGAGCAAAAGGAACAAGGAGGTATTGGACGTTTTGGTGGGTGTAAAAATGGTCAGATCCTCAGGTCCAAATGAGTTGTACCTAGGCTGCTGCGAGAGGTGAGGGAGGTAATTACAGGGGCCCTGTCCCAAATTTTTAATTCCTTTGTGGCCACAGGGGAAGATCCAGAGGACTGGAGGACAGCTAATGTGGCTCTACTTTTCAAGAAGGATGGGAGGGATAAACCAGGGAATTACAGACCATTCTCACATCAGTCATAGGGAAACTATGGAGAAAATTCTGAAAGAGAGAATTAATCTTCACTTGGAGAAGTAAGATTTGAATAGGGATATTCAGGATGGCTTTGTCAGAGGAAAGTCATATCTAACAAATTTGATTGAATTTTTTGAAGAAGTGACCAGGTCTGTCAACGAAAGTAGCGCAGTTGTTATAGTTTATACGGATTTCAGTAAAGCCTTTGACAAAGTCCCACATGGAAGACTGATAAAGAAGGTAAAAGCACATGGGATCCAGAGTAACTTGCCAAGAGCAGGAGACAGAGGGTGGTGGTAAAAGATTGTTTGTGTGATTGGAGGCCAATGTACAATGACATACCACAGGCTCAGTTCTGGGTCCCTTGATATAAACAAGATGAAGATTTTTACGGGGGAGGTGTGGGTTGACAATAACTAAGTTTGCATACGATGAAAAAGTTGTCCTTGTGGTTGACAATGAGCAATGTCGTAGGTTACAGGAAGATATAAAATGGATAGTCTGATAGGCAGATGGTAGTTAACCCTGAAATGTGTGAGGTAATGTACTTTGGAAGTATCAAGACAAAGGAGTACTTAATGAATGGCAGGACTGTAGGAATCTCAGAGGAACAGAGGGATCTTCAGGTGCTTGTCCATAGATGCCTAATGGCAACATGACAAAATAATAGATTGGTTAAGGAGGCAAATCGAACGCTTGCTTTTATCAGTCACAGTATAGATTATAAGAGCAAGAGGTAATGCTGGAGCTGTACAGAACTTTGGTTAGACCACAGCTGAAGTACTATGTACAGTTCTGGTCACTGCACTATTGGAAGGATGTGATTATACTGTAGGAGGTGCAAAGGAGATTCACCATTGCGTTGCCTTTGGTGGAGCATTTCAGCTACAAAGGGAGGCTGGATAAGCTCGGGTTATTTTCTTGAAAGCTGAGGTGGTGGGACCTGATTGAGGTGTATAAGATTATGAGAGGCATGGAAACAGTGGCTAGAAAGCAGCTGTTCCCCTTAGCTGAAGGATGGTGGGAATCTGAAGTGCATAGCTTTAAAGGATAGTAGTGGTGGGAAACCTCACCAACTTTAAAAGATACGTGGATGAACACTGGAAATGGCCCACAGTCTTGGATGTAATTACAAGTGTTGGAAAGTGGGATTAGTGTAGATAGGTCAGTGTAGACTTGATGGGCCAATGGACCGTTCTGTGCTGTAAGACTATGGCTCTAAATCTCAAACAAGAACAGATGCTGGAAATCTGGAGATCAGAAATTCAATGTGAGGAACTGTAGACACAAGCAAAATTCTACTTGGTACAATGATCAGGAATGGTAAACATTCATGAATTAATTTATGTATAAAGTGTATAAAGATTGGGTACACTTGCAGAACAAAGGGTGGAGCCTGCAACATCTAGTGAGATTAATTAATCATTTATTTTAGAAACTGATAAATTGACATCAACTTGTATAAACTATACAAAGATACAGTGTTTCCATGTATAAAGATATCCACTATGTACAATAATGTAAAAATTTATCAACAGTGCTAATTACTATATTAAGCATACCTGTTATTTTAGAGTATCTTTTGTGATATAAAGTCCAATTGAGTTTGGAAGAATGGAAAATTATCGCATTGAAACATTATCTCATTGAAATACACAAAGCTCTTGTACATCTGACAGAGTAGATTGATGAAAGCATTTCCCTGGGCACAGGATCTAGAACCAAGGGGCACTGTCTCAAGATAAGAGGCAAGCCATTTAGGTCTGAGATCAGGAGGAATTTCTTCACTCAGAGGGTGGTGAATCTTTGGAATTATCTAGCCCCAAGGGGCTACATGGCTTAATCATTATGTTCAAAACAGAGATCAATGATTTTCTAGATTTTGAAAACATCAAACAATTTGAGAATAGTGTGGGAAAACAGCACTGACAGTAGAAGATTAGCTATGATGTAGCTGAGTGATCGAGCAGGTTCCTATTCCTAATGAAAGTCAATCAGATCAACAGAATGTTTCAAATGGTTTCAGTAAATCAGACAACTGTGTGTCAAAGAAAACAAAAAATACCACATTGAAAAATAATTTATTATACTGCAATATTTCTGAAAAACCAAAGACGTAATTCTGACTGACACAAAAGAATGTTAAAATTTAACAGCTTACTATACAAGATTTAAGTTCATACAAATACAAATAGATTAAAACAATGCCAACTAAATGAAGCTCTCTCATTCATTTACATAGAAGTATGCACATAACTGCCCTATGAATTTGACATTCTGTACTTTTAAACAGCACATAATCAGACCTTATTTAAAGAACATAAAGCTGAGTGTGATGTACCCAAATTTGCTGACACTAATAGTTAGGAAGGTATTTTATGATGAGGATATTAGAAATCTGTAGGGGATGTAGTTAGGTAGATCAAGAGGGTAAAATCTCAGCAGATGGAGTTTAATGTAGGGAAGTGTGAGGTCATGCACTTTGTCAGGAAAAATAAAAAAAAGACTAATTTAAACTGAGACAGATTCCAAAAATGTGCAGCACAGAGTGCTCTGGGTGTTATTGTACATGAAACACAAAATGTTGGCACACAGGTACAGCAAGTAATTAAGCAGGCAAGTGGAATTTTGGCCTTATGTGATAGGGTTGGAGCTTAAAAATGGGGAAGTCTCATTCCAACTGTACAGGGTGTTGGCGTGGCTGCACTTAGGAGTACTGCATACAGCTGTGGTCCCTGTATTTCAAAAAGAATATTTTGCAACTGGAGGCAGTTCAACAGAGATTCAGCAGACTGATTTCTGAATGAAGGGATTTACTTATGGTTAAACAGGTTATTCATTAGAGTTTAGAAGAATGAGGGGTGATTTTAGGAGGCTTGACAGGGAAGATGTTAAGAAGATGAGGTTGTTGACTTGCTCGCCGAGCTGGCTGGTTGTAGTCAGACGTTTCATCACCCCGCTAGGCAACATCATCAGTACAGCCTCCAATGAAGCGATGTAGTTCTTCTCCGCTTAGTATTTATATGATCCGGTCTGTTGGTGTTTTGTGTCATTTCCGGTTCTTTTTTGTAAGGGTTTGTATATATCCTAGAAGCCTGGTTCTCCACACATAATGCTATCAATAAACATGTGGAATTAGATCCCATATACAAATCCTTGCAAAAAAGAACCAGAAATGACACAAAACACCTCAACAGACCAGATCATATAAATTATAAGTGGAGTAGAACAACATTGCTTCATTGGAGGCTGCACTGATGATGTTACCTAGCATGGTGACGAAACGTCTGAACTATAACCAACCAGCTCGGCGAGCAAATCAACAACCTCACCCACAATCCGAGCTACAAATCTTCGCAAGAACCTTAATATATTAAGAAGATGCTTCCACTAATGGGTTAACCTCAAGCTAAGGAACATAGTTACAGAATAAGGGGCCTCATTTAAAACTGAGATGCCAAGTAATTTCTTCTCCCAGAAAGTACAGAATGTCTAGAATTCTCTATCCCAGAGAATTGTGCAGGCTACGTCACAAAGTACTTAAAGAGATAGATATATTTTTGAAATTTCAGGGAGTTGAAGCCTATGAAGCATGAAAGAGGGGTTGAGGCCTGGGCAGAACCATCATTACCTTATTGAATGGCAGGGCAGCCTTAAGGAGCTGAATGGCCTATTCCTGCTCCTATTTTACAATACTATAATATTATTACTAATAATAACTTATTAATAGTGGTCCAATTTGCTTCTCATTGGCACTACAAAACGATGTTACCAAGTGTACACCTGAAAGGTACTGAGTCATCTTCCTCTTTCCTGTACAGTAAAGACCAAACAAGTACATTGCAGATTGACATTGTATATTGATGTCAAAACTGAAGCACAGGAAAGGAGACAATAGCTGCTTTTGTGAATACACCCCAGGGGACCATGGCTTTCCCTTAATATATGGCCCAATATAACAATGTAAAAAAAAAAGTATTCCTCAAATAGACAACCAAACTGGATTAGAGGTTTGAAGAAAGTAACACCCATTTAAGACCTGGTTCATTTGTTCCTGCACAATAGTCTTTTTGCAAAGTAAACAGCAGTTCGGAGAATGCACCTAGAACTGCAACAATTATATTGTGAAGAGGAATAGAACAACTACCCATTGCTGATCTCTACCAGCTCATCCTGAAACAAGCAATCTGTTCAATAGTTTTTTTTTCCCCCAAAATGGACAACAGACTAATACCATAAGTTCATTTATTTTAATGTAATGATACCCCTGTCCACTTTTCTATTATTCCAAGTGTTCAGGTTCACACATTCAGTGTACGTGGTCCAGTTACTTAGGTACTTCCGTGAATTCATGAGTAAGATTTTTCCCAGTGCAAGCACCAGAATCCTGTACAGCTAAGGTAAAAATCTCATTGTAAAGATTTGGAAGAGATTGCTTATGTAATTTGAGCTACTCAAATGGATCATATGTACTGGAACTAAATGATTGAAAATTCTTACAAGTGGGCAATGAAAACACTGCGTTGAAATAAGTGCCGTAGCTTTATTATTTCAATGTTTTACAAAGTAGGGAGTGTAAAAAAGGTACTGTCTTGCTGATCTGTGCCGTATGCTTAACACTGCCCCAACGTCATCTGTTCTAGGCTGCTTAGCACATCACTTATGATGCTGTGGGAGAAGGAAGATAAATTTCCATTGGTAATGAGGAAGATGGAAATTCAAAGCTTGTACTTCCATTTGAAGTAGAATTTCTGTGCACTATAATTCATAAGAAAGCAGAACTTGCGGACCAAATAGGCTGAACTGATATGCAATAAAACATGATAACTATGTTTGTGTTTCCCTTCCAGAGGCAAATTGGTATCATTGGTAATAAACTTTATTTCATTTATTGTTCAGGTCTCATTAGCAAAAAGCAAGTAGCTCTAAATGCAGCATTGAAAGTCAGGGGCAATTTACGTGGACATCTTCAATTCCAGACGTGAATTATGTTACCAACTCTAAAATTGTATTATCTGAAATACTTTTTTCAGCTATCTTCTGTAAAGTGCCCTGCAAAAATCTTAGCAATTCTTTCCGTTTCTTCTTTAGGTAGTTCTGATGGCATTAATCTTGGTTTCTGACGACTGCTGCGCCGAGAACTGGTTCTGTTCAGACTTGAAACTTTATTCTGAAAAAAGGAATTTCGGAAACATGTTAGAAGGCACATATTCAAAAACAAACAAATGTGGCTTTCCTCTCTTTGTAATTCTTGCGTTCTATGACTCAATGAATATTGCCCAGAATGCTGTATGCTTTATTTGCCTGTTCGGCCACCTTTAATTACTTATGAACACACACACTAAGGTCCCTGAGATCCTGCAACCTCTTTAGAGTTGTTTTATTTATTTTTACTGTCTCTCCATGTTCTTTGTATCAAAACGTATGAACAAAATTTCTCCACATTGAACTTAATCTCCAATCTATCCACCCACTCTATCAAGTCGTCTCATAGAATCATGGAACCCTACAGTGTAGAAGCTGTGCTTTTGGCCCACTGAGTCCCACCAACCCTCCGAAGAACATCCCACCCAGTCCCACCCCCATCCCGTGCATTTCCCATGGCTAATTCACCTAACCTATACATCCTTGCACCCTATGGGCAATTTAACATGACCAATCTACCCAACCTGCACATCTTTGGACTGTGAGAGAAAACCAGAGCACCCGGTGGAAATGCAGACATAGGGAGAATGTGCAAACTCCACACAGACAGTCACCCAAGGCTGGAATCGAACCCGAGTCCCTGGCACCGTGAGATAACAGTGCTAACCACTGAGCCACTGTACCACCCATCTCATGTCCAATTGAATTTCTACACCATGCTTCTCACAGTTTATAATGCTTCCATGTTTGTATCCCTTACAAATTTTGAAACTTGTGCATTGCATACTAAAGTGTAGACAATTTATTTATATCAGGAAAAGTAAGTTTTAACACAGACCCAAGGGGAATTCCAGTGTTTACCTTCCTCAGCCTGAAAATCATGTGTTAACTGTTACTCTGTTTCCCGTAACTCAGCCAATTTTGAATCCATGTTCCTACTGCGCCTTTTATCCCATGAGATCTTACTTTGCTCGCAAGCCTCTTATGCCACACTTTATCCAGTGCCTTTTGGAAGTCCCTTCACACCTCAACCAACTTCTTTGTCACTTCTTCACAAAACTCCAGCAAGTTAGATAAATACGATCTTCACTTAAAAAATCCATGCTGGCTCTCCCTAGCTATCATGTATTTGTCGCGATTTATTGTTTCTAGAAGTTTCCAACCCACTGAAGTTTAAGCTGACCAGTTTGTATTTGCTTAGTTTATCCTTACACCATTTTTGAACAAGGATATAATGTTTGCAACTCTCCCATCTAAGAAAAACTGGAAAAAAATAATTGCCAGGATCTCTGGGGGTAGGGGTGGGGCAATGGCCTAGTGGTATTATTGCCAGACTGTTAATCCAGAAACCCAGGCAATGTTCTGGGAACCTGGGTTCGAATCCAGCCACAGCAGCTGGTGGAATTTGATATCTGGAATTAAGAGTCTAATGATGACCGTGAATCCATTGTCAGTTGTCGGAAAAACCCATCTGGTTCACTAATGCCCTTTAGGGAAGGAAACTGTCATCCTTACTTGTTCTGGCCTACATGTGACTCCAGACCCACAGCAATGTGGTTTACTCATAACTGAGGGATGGGCAATAAATGCTGGCCTAGCCAGCAATGCCCTCATCCCGTGAATGAATTTTTAGAAGAAATTTATACTCTCACTTCCATCAGTATCTTTAGATTTATTGCATCTGGTCCTAGTGTCCTGTCAATTTTAAGTACAGATAGCCAATCTAATTCCTTCTCCTTATTTTAAACCCTAATAGTGACTGAATGTTTCATCTCCCCCTTCTCCCCCCAACACACACACAAACAAACAATATGGCCTGAGTAGCATTATCTTGCTTGGTAAAGACTGATCAAAGTGAATTTAGTACCTCTGAATTTAGTACCTCAGTTATAGCTCTTGCTTCATTGTGCAAATCCCCTTTCTGATCCCAAGACAGCTAGTAGTTTGAGGGTGCAACTGTAAGCAGCTTAGACATTTTTAAATTAATGGACAAGGGTAGCAGAAAGTGAGGTTGAAAGAGGTATTTGGGAAGTCGACAGGGATGCCTTGTCAGTAAGCAAGGCCACAGGAGTAATGAGCTCATGTAGATGGTGAGGTTAAAGGGTTAGCTGCTAATTGGGCAGGAGGGCTTATATAAACACAACTTACCATTTATAAAACCATGCCGACTTTCCAAATATCCTGTCGCTGCTTCCTTAATAACGGATCCAAATTAATTTCCAATGACTAACTTTAAACTAACTGGTCTACAGTTTTCTACTTTCTGCCTCCCTCCCTTATTGAGTAAGGGAGTTGCATTAGTATTTGTTCAATCCACTTGAACTGTTCCCACATCCAGGGAATTTTGAAATATTATAACCATGCATCCATTATCTCTGCTGCCACTTCCTTTAAGACCCTGGGGTGTAGGCCATCAGGACCTGAGAACTTGCCTGCTTTTAGTCCTAATAGTTTCCTCAGTACTTTTTCCCAGTGAAGGCAAGTGTTTTAAGTTCGTCCTTTTTAATAACCTGTCACTGTTGAGATGGTACTAGTGACCTCTACTGTAAGAATTAAGGCAAATATTGATTTAGTGCATCTAGTATTTCTGTATTCTCCATTCTCGTCCTCTAAGCGGCCAACATTCACTTTAGCTACTCTCTTCCTTTTTATGTACTTATAGAAAGTTTTGCTACGTTTCATATTTTGCACTAGTTTTCTGTCATAATCTCAAAGCCAGAGCAACTAGGATCAGGCAATAAATTCTGGCCCAGCCAGTGAATGCCTTTGCTCTTTTTTTACTTTTTCTAAAAGTGACCCTATGTTGATCTTTAAAAGTTTATGAATCCTCCAGCCTGCCACTGACATTTGCAATATAGTTGCCTTAGTTTTGTTTTTATACCATCTTTAACCTCCCCGCTTAGCCAATGATATTTTTCCACCCTCTTAGGATCTTTCTTTCTCTCTGGAATGTATTTTAATAAGGATGAATTGAATATCTCCTAAATGTCTGTCATTGTTCATCAAGTGTCCTATCGTTCAAAGCCAGGGGTGGGGAATTTTGAAACCAGTGAATTCTACATTCAGGTTATCAGGTTGTAGGCTCCTGAGGTGGAATATTGTTCTTCCAGTTTGCGTGTGGCGTCATTGTGGCACCAGATAGATGCTGAATAGATGTCAGCACCGATATCTATTTCAAACCCATCGACTCGCATAGTTACTTTGACTACACCTCGTCTCACCTACCCTCCTGCAAGAATGCCATCCCCTATTCCCATTTTCTTTGCCTCCACCGCATGTGCTCCCAAGATGGAGCGTTCCACTCCCACATCCCAGATGTCCTCCTACTTCAAGGACCGCAACTTCCCTCCTCCATTGATTGAAAATGCCTTCAATCGCACCTCTTGCATTTCCCGCACTTCTGCCCTAAAACCCCCTCCCCCCAACAAAAATAAGGACAGAATCCCCCTGGTCCTCACATACCACCCCACCAACCTCCACATCCAGCGCATCATCCCCCGCCATTTCCGCCACCTACAATCCGACCCCACCAGCAGAGAGATATTTCCCTCCCCACCCTTATCTGCCTTTCCTAGGGACTGCTCATTCCGCAGCTCCCTCATCTTCTTCCACACTCCCACCAACCCCACCACACCCAGCACCTTTCCTTGCAACCACACGATGTGCTACACGTGCCCCTACCTCCCTTCTCACCTCTATCCAAGGCCCAAGACAAATCTTCTATACCCGACAAGTGTTCACCTGTACATCCTCCAACCTGGTCTACTGCATCTATTGCTCCTGTTGTGGCTCCTCTACACCAGTGAGACCAAGCACAGACTTGGGTGACCAATTCGTGCAGCATCTACGCTTTGTACACTATAATCAACAACACCTTCCGATTGCCAACCATTTTATCTCCCCCTCCCACTCCCTTGGTGACATGTCCATCCTGGGCCTCCTCCAGTGCCACAATAATGCCACATGCAAACTGGAGGAACAACAGCTCATATTCCGCCTCAGGAGCCTACAGCCCGATGGCCTGAACATAGAATTTACCAGTTTCAAAATCTCCCCACCCCTGGCTTCATCGCAAGTCCAACCCTCCCACCCATCCTTGCCTCTTTGACCTGACACAACTTGTCCAACTTCCTTCCCACCTATCCACCCCACCCTTCCCACTCACCAATCCCCACTACCCCTACCTGCATCCACCTATCACCATCCCATCTGTCTTCCCCCAGCCCCACCCCTCCTCCCTCTATTTATTTCCCAGCTCCCTTCCCTCTCCCCAGTCCTGATGAAGGGTCCTGACCTGAAACGTTGACTCTCCTGCTCCTCTGAAGCTGCCTGACCTGCTGTGTTCCTCCAGCTCCACACTGTGTTGCACATGAGAAGGTAGTGGTGAGCTACCTTCTTGAACTGCTGCAGTCTATGTAGTGCATGTACACCCACAATGTTGAAAGGGACAGTTCCAGATTTTGACCCAGGAATGGTGAAGGAACACTGATGTAGCTCCAAATCAGGATATGTTGCTTAGAGGGAATCTTGCATGCAATAGTATTCCCCTGCATCTGCTTCCCTCGTCCTTCTAAGTGGTAGAGGTTTGGAAGACGCTGTCAAAGGAGCCTTGGTGAGTTCTTCCAGTAGATCATGCAGATGGTACACACTGCTGCCAATGTGTGTCAGTGGTACAACAGTGAACAATGAAGGTGTTAAACGGAGTGCAAATAAAGTAGTCTACTTTGTTCTGGATGGTGTCGAAGTTTTTGAGTATTGTTGGAACTGCACTCATCAAACTGAGTGGGCAGAATTCCATCACACTATTGATTTATGCCTTGCAAATGGTAGACAGGTTTTGGGGATACAGGCAGTGAGTTACTCATCACAGAATTCCCAGTCTCTGGCCTGTTCTGGAGCCACAGTATTTATTGCTTGCCCACTTTAGTTTCTGATGAATGGTAACCATCAGGATGTTGATGCCAATTGTCCACAAGTCATAGACAAAAAGAACATTGTCCACGAGACAGTGTACACTTCAGCCAA